TATATACAGGTGAAACTCGAATAATTAGAATATCGTGCAAAAGTAATTGCAGTAAGTGCTGCAAAAGGGGCCCAAACCAAGTACTGAGTACATATGCATGCTTGTACTTTTCAGAGGTCCGATATTGTTCTATGTACAATCCTTGTTTTATTGATTGCATGTAATAATCTACTTTTTTGAGGTTGTGGATTTGGGGTTCTTGGGGTTTTCATGAGCTGTAAGCCATAATCATCACAATTATGACAAACCACGGCTTGAACTATCTTGCTTTGCATGTAATGAGTCTATCTCATATATTAGTTTCACCTTTTAAGCTGCATTAGTGAAATAAATGAACTTTTGCACGATATTCTAATTATTCGAGTTTCACCTGTATGTATATATATATACCTATATATATATTTTAGTCGGGTAGATATCAAATATTGCAACTCAAGCTGGTATTTAGACACAGAACTGAAGTCATAGGGTTGAGTCATAGTAGTGACTGGTCCTTTCTCCGGAAATTCAGTCCAAAATTTCAATTAGACAGGCCAGTCTAAAAAGGTGTTAGCTATTGCTGCATTGTCTATTTTGCGAATGCATAATGCTCTGGGAATACTTTGTCATGTAATAAATATTTTAAAATGCATGAACTTGGAAAAATGAAAATAAAATCAACCCCAAATCATTATAGTTTACATTTCAAGTTCAGACCACTCAAATGTGATAGCTTACTCATAGTTAGGTCTGGTGGGCTGAGTCACAAGTAAGAGTCTTCCATAATTTGAGGATTCTAGCAGCAAATTCTCCCTACCACAGTTCCTGACACTGTTTCCACTCACATGCTTAAAGCAGAACTAACGTTTGTTTTTTTTTTATTGCACTTTGAAATTGCAAGTTACAAATAATGCTACATGCATACTTGCAAAATTATATAGCTTGCGACTTTCTCAATATGGTTGTCAGTTGCTGTGCAGACACAGTATATGACCCGGATTCTCAATTACCTCTTGGCTTGATATCAGCTGGCTGCAGAGCTGAGGTCATAGATTTTCCTCAACTTTCTCTAGGTATAGCATTAATTATGCTCCTACATTTCAATAAAGGGCAGAGGACATCACTGCACACAATTTGGCTCCTGCCAGTTTGGTCCTGTTTTCTACCTTCTCATTTGATAGACAGCTGCATTTAGTAAAGCAAGTACCGAGTGGCTGATAAAAGAGCAGGAGACTGCCATCAGTTGGCCTCTGAAATCCTCTAAATGCATTAACCAATGGGAATCACTTCAAAAACGACTCCACAGATGATACTGCACTCCTCAGAGACTTACTAACATTTTTCCTTCTCTTTCGCCGCTTTGCTGGAGAAACTACAGACAAGTGGGATCCTTAAGTCACATCTGGTGGTTTTGTGGAAAGCTCTATTCATTCTGGCCTGGAGTTTTTCAGATGATCTCTTCAGTACTTCATATTTCCTGTGAGCCAGATCTAGTGCTTGCACTACTGGGAGTAGGTATTGATTAGGTATTGATTCGTGGCACCCAGAAACATGTACTTTTTTTATCTCATTAGCAGGAAGGTTAGCACTAGCAAGACTCTGGAAAGGAACAGATTCTCTGTCCCTCCAAACTGTGCTAAAAATTGGTAATACTCACTCCCATTTTGAACTTATGTTTGCCAAAGCCAACTGTAAGTGGAGCTCATTCACTAAGAATTGGTCCTCCTGGCTTTCCAGTAGTAACTGTCTAATTTGACTGAATTAGTCACCTTTACTCCTCTTTATTTTTCAACTTATATATTCTCACCTTTCCAGTACAGAAGGTGAATTTCCCTCCAAGTTATACACTTCTGGTACTTCAATTGCTCCCTATTAAAATCTCAGTAGCTTACTCTGGTACATGACTCGGTTTTTCAGATGTACCATACACACATACAAATTATCCCTCCAAAAGAAACATTTCTCCTTTTTAGGAATATTTCATCATGCTTATGGTTATGCCTACTTACCTCCATCTTAGTTACTTTCCTCCTCTCTTTTTACTATTGTTTAATGCTTTACTCTGCCTTATTAACATACCGCACTAGTTTCCTCATTAGGTTCTCTGACTGTAATGTGATAATGGATAAATGGAAAAACGCCAAAACTCACTCCTCCAATTCCTCCTCCGAATGCAAATCAATGTATGCACCAGGTGCAGACTACAGTGTGCTCCCACTCCTCAAACTACTTCTGCAATCAGCCGCACAAGACTGGTATCCATACAATCCAAATTTATTGTAGTTAATTCCATGCAGGATCCAAGATTAACCACTCCTTGCGGGTCGCCGTACATATTGCTGCAGCCTAGTTCTTGGTATCACTTTAAACAGCTGGTAACTGCTGTTCAGGTACAAGTGATCCAGCGACTATATAGCTGCCGGATTGCTTGTATCAAACGCCGGAGTGTTCTCCCCCTTCCCCCGGGCTTGGCTGTCCCCTGTGTCCTCCTGCATCACTCGGAGAGAGATCAGCAAGCTAGCCGCTGATCTCTCCTCCGATCACTGGACTCGGAAGTGATGTGTATTACATCACTTCCGGTGTCACTAACTCTGTGACTCTTAGAGCCAGGAGAAGAATCTGGTGAAGCAGATCTCTGCTTTATCAGCTTCTTTGGGGTCCCTATGTGACAATAGGGGTCTAAAAGACCCCTGATGTCTCCATAAAGAAGACCTTTTACACCCTATTTGCTATTACATAGGGGACTTGTTAGCTGCCTATGTGATAGCAATAACGTTAGTGTAAAAAAAAAAAAATTAAAGTAACATAAAAAAATGATAAACTTTTTTTTAAAGTCCCCTACCCCCCCACGTGCACGGACATACATACACAAACACCCGTCAGTGCGCCACACATGTTACATATTGTCGCGAATGTGTAAGAGCAATAATTCTATACCATCAGTCATGGTTAACACTGAACTGATGAGCAGTAATAGCTTTTATAATATCCCATATGGGAAATTTTGGGTACTGTAGTTTTTTTGCGGCTTCAAGGGCAAACTCGTTTTTAAGGCTTGACATGTTTAGTATCTATTTACCCGACGTGACCCCGTCTTTTATATTTTACCAGAAAATTGGGTATTATGTTCTGTTTCTGTGCATTACATTTCATTTTAGTGTATTATCCTGAAAATACTGGTTTGATAAACATTTGCACAAATACCATGCAACATAAAAAAATTGCAACTAGCATTTTTTATTCTACAGGGCCTCTGCTTTCAGAGCATATATCATTGTTTGGGGGTCTGAAGCTGTTTTCTAGCCCAAATTTCAGATTTTATTATGTGTGTGCAAATAGTAAGAAATTGCTTCAAACAGCAAGTGGTTAAACATGTACAGCATAACATGTACACCACCAAAGGATCTCTCCCACTTCAGCGCCTCTCACGTAGATCTCTATGATTAAGCCCAGGTGGTGAAACATGTGGGAGAGATCCTTTGGTAGTGTATATGCTGTATTTTGGATCCTGTATGGAATTTACTACAATAAATTTGGACTTTATGGATATCGGTCTTGTGTGGCTGATTGCAGAAGTAATGGATATATGGAAGTCAGTCTCATCAACATCTTATCTGCAACTTCCATTTGTCCTTGGTTTATACCTATATTTCCATGATATTGTTTATTGAAATCCCACTGTACCTCAGTATACGTTATGCTACATTTTACATTTATGTTGAATGTGTTTACTTACATTAATACAAATATAAAGTTAAAAAAAAAGCAGGAGACACGGAGGAGTAGACAGTAGATAGAACCGGATGCGGATGAGGATAATATCAAATATGGATAAAGAAAAAGCTAAAATAGGTTAAAAAGCATGCAGCATTTCTAACTTGTAATTTCAAGGTGGTTGCATTAAAAGAAAATACTTTAGTTTTGCTTTAAATGTCTTACTGTGAATGTAATGCAACAAGAGTCAGCCAGAGTCATATTTTTTCATATTGTTACTATGCATGTGTTTGGTTATCCCTTTTTGTACCACGATTTACCATGATTTTGCTGTAATTATATTCACCACGCCGCTCCTGACTTGTTTAGGCTTTACATTTTCTAACTCAACACAGGTTATGACAAATGAATAAAGGGAAACAAGACTGACAAACGTTTCTTTTCTTTTAATACTGTATAGAGCTGTGCTCATCATACATTTAATACTGTATACCTAAACATGCATATACAAGCTGTATATCATCCGTAACTGTGACACAAAGCTTTACCAGGCATTAACCATGTGAATCCTTTGCATTGAGTGTCCACATGTTTAACAGACAGTTCACGCATAGTCATAAGCTATACTGATCAGAAAACATTGCAACAAACACAAGTACTTAAAACAGCAAGTCGGAGTTACACAATGGGGAGAACAAGCTGCAAATACACCTAAAAAATGATTTTTTTCAGATTTTTTTTTTTCTGTGACTAGCACCATCTGTACACAAGAAAATATGAACATAAATGTTTGGATATTAAAGATTTAAAAGGCACTTAGTCTCACTGGATTCTTCTCCTTTGTACAGTACTTCTGAAGGCTGTAGTCCGTCTTTCTTCATACTCCACTGCTCAGAGGAAAAGTTCAGTTCTGCTACCAGTCCTTATATACAAAAATTAACCTTTAAAGTTTCTCAAAGTGCTCTCTTCAAAGTTCTACTTGTCCTTAGCTTTTTTTAATTTAAAAAAAATGTTTGCGAATGTGCTCAGTCTTACCAAAACTCCTTCTTGAACCCTCTTAACACATTCTCCGTCAAATTTCAACATAACCTTGTCCACCTGAAGTCTTTAATCCAAAGTCTTTGGGTGTTTTCATGGAGAGAAAATAATTATGGGACACGTTTGTTTCAATGCAATTTTTTTTTCTTTTCATCTTCAGCTTGACTATCCAGTTTTACCGGCGCCTTGAAGTAATATCAAAACAGGTGATCATCATGAGATGAGCCTTGCAGAAGTTGACTCTGTTTTCCAAACGGTCTGTCACACATTCCAGTGCCTCTAAATATTCTATGGAGTCCACTTCGTAAGTTTGTTCCAAATCAACTGAACCAGAAAGAAAAACATATGTGTCAGTAAAACTAAGTGTTCTAGATTTGAGTTTTCCCAAAAATAGACTTAATAGATGAAACTTTTTATTGGTCAGTTTTTTTAAAGAAGTCCAAGGTATCAGCAGTCTAAGAATACTGTACACAGGACTGTACCAAGGTACCTACATCTAAGAATACCTTTGTAGTTCTCCTCATTAGTATATGTCAATCTGAAGGATGAAGGCTAAAAAGATATCTAGTATGTTTTATTAGCAAGGTGCAATACATCATTTTTAAGTGTGTGTATATAGCCAAAAACTTTTTTTGTTTTGACGGAGAAGGGAAGGGTTAGAAACCCTATCAGGTTTTATTTGCTGTCTGTGTCCCTGCTGGGGACATCCATTCTCTCTTTTTGTCCTGATGACCATTATTGTCTAGAAAGAAAGCTGGGAAATCCAAAATGTCACCTGTACAAGAGGTGAGTTGAAATCTCCCAATTGGGACACTTATTTCGATGACAACTGTCTAAGAGGTGATTTCTGCTAACTTTTAGAGCTACTTCCTCTTACTTTGCATCTCTGGAACAGGAAGTGAAGGGAAATATCCCTAACAGGGCACAGACATCGAAAATAAACTGACAGGGGTTTTAACTCTATTCAAAACTAAAACCAAAAAAAGTTTGGGCTATAAATAACTATACAATAATAAATTATTATTAAAAGAACATCTGCACATTTTCTTTGCTATGGTGTCATCTGCACTTCACAACTAAAAGATCTATTCTAGAGCCTGTACTGATTTGTAGATCATCCCAACAGCAGCATGAACCATTTGCTTCTAATCCTATCTCTATCTGACTAATCCCCCACTTGTGCAACAGCAGAATATCACAGAAAATATACATGGAGACTTAGTCTCTCTGGTGCAATGTGAGGACTACGACTCATAGTTTTAAATTAATGGTATTAAGTACTTAGCGGTTCCCTGGGAATTTGGAAGCTTTCCCTGTTTTGTTCTTAATTCTGTCAGCTGGAGGCACTCTTTGAGCTTCTAATGCCAACCATGTTATTTTCATGTCCTTCATAAATATCTCTGTCTACACATACTTTTGACGTCTCTGTTAATCAAACAATAGGTACCATTAAATACAAATAAAATGTACGTACATTCACTGAGCCACTTATTTGGATCCAGCATCAGGTATTGTTTGGTGTTCTCCAGTTCCTTCATAAGCCATTCGTATTTGGCCTTGACCTCTGCGATTCTCTGTTGGCGGTGTTCTAAGATCTTGAGCTTTGAACTAAATCGTGCGACCGTCTAATAGGAAAAAACAAACATTCCTGTCAAAAGTGTTGTGAGATTTTATATATATATA